GCCGAGCCGAGCCGAGCCGAGCCGAGCCGAGCCGAGCCGCGCCGAGCCGCCGCCCGGGCCCAGCGAGCCGCCAGCCACCGCCCGCACCCGGCCCCCAGAGCCGCCGCCCCTCGAGCCGCCCCGCCGCCGCCACCGCCCCTTTCCGCGCCGGCACCTGGATGTGGCAGGAGATCTCGGAGTCGTCCAGCAGCCGCACGGTGCATTTCATTTCCGCGCTCAGCGACCTGATGCTGGAGCTCCGGAACCGGATCATCCCGGCAGCCCGCCCGCCGCTGCCGCGCCGCAGGTAGCCGCAGGGGGCCAGCCTGCAGAAGCGCCCGGCCGACCACGGCACGGCACGGCGCGGCACGGCGCGGAGAGGCGCGGCGGCAGCGCCACCCCTCAGCCCCGCGGCGCCCCGCCGCCGCCAGCCATCCGCCCGCCCGCCGCGGCTCGGGCCGCCGCTGCGTCAGGATGCGCTCCGCTGGCCGGCCTCAGCATCCTCCTGCGCCCGCCCCCGGCACGGCGCGGCACGGCACGGCCCGCGGGGGGCACCTCTCCACCCTCACCTGCTCCTCCCGCTTCTCCGCCCCACCGGTCCTGGCTGGGCTCCCTGCGCGGCTCCGTTTCGTCGCGCTGCTAGCGCCCAGAGGGAAATGGTCAGCGCGATTGTTTGTCTTCGCCGCCACAGGCGTGCTTCGCCTGGTTTCGAGTGCACCTGAGCCACTGGTACTCGCGTGGGAATGCCCGATGCCCCGCAAACGGGGGACATCCCCCAGGCTGCCGGCGGGGAGTGGAGTTCCCACGCTGGCTGGCCGTCCATGTCTCCGGCGTATCATCCCAACACAGCCGGAGGCAGGAGGAGAAGCCTGTGGAATACATGTACAGAGTCATATAAAGAAACCTCACCGAAGATGAGTGTACCCTAATGAAACAGGAGAAAACAGAATGTAACTTAATGTAAGAGTGCAAGCCTTGGAAACTTGTTTCCTCAGGGAAAATAAAATGACCCATTAAGGAGCAGCAATCATAACCCATTTGTTGTCTAAGTGGGAAAGAAAATAAAACATCCAGTGGTTTCATTATTATGCTCTCCATCAAAAAAAAGTGTACACATTTGTGTAAAACCTTACTGGCAGAAAGCAAACACCAAACTTAACCAGCCTTGAAACAGTGATCAGCAGTGTGTTAAAAAAATTAGCACTTTCCTTTGAAATATGAAATGGAAAACATCCAGGGCAAAATGTGACATGACTGGAAGTTTACAAATATAAAAGAAGCACTGACAGTCATACAGAAGATGTATTTCAGTTATTATTGCCTAGTTGTCTGTGATTACCTCTAAATGTCCATATTTTAAAAAGAGCTCTGAGTGAATGTGTTGTTCTTTAGATAACCCTGCGTAAAAGCCTAAGTGCTGCTACTCCTGTACTCCTGCTGCTACTCCCTGGGCTTTCTGCTGGACTGCTAACAGCAGGAAATACAGGAGACCACAAACAAATGTGAAATATGTAATGCTTACTAATAAATATGCATCCACTAATAAATACACAGAGCCCTTTAATGTAGAACATAAAAGAAAAGCTATAATTATATGCTTCTCAAAAAGGATAAATGCTTTCAATTGCATAGTGAATAGTGAAGCAAACCAGTGAGTATTTAAAATAGATTATTCACCTCAGCATCTCACAGCCCACAAGTTATGGAAGGAGGTCCCTATCAGCTGAGACACCAGATGTAGACACCCACTCATTAATAATAAAATAACACTTTATGTCTTATAGTAATGCAACATGGGAACTCAACAGCGGGATTTAAGCCCACATGCAGATTGACTCTCAGGTGATTTTCACAGATTTTCCTGCTTCTCATAAAGAAGGAATCCTCTTTCTAAGCCAAGTATTTTAGCTTTCCTTCAGTCTTTCCAGCACATTTTTCTCCACCCAAAAAGAGAATTACAAGAAGGAGTTGACCCAATGATGAAGATTTAGTGAGCAGGTCATAGTCTACCACTGTCTGAGGGGATTTTGCTTTACCTTCAGGACTACATGGAGAGGGATGAGCTTTCCAGGAGGTCTCAGAGTTACAGCAACAGTGATGATTACAACATAAAATCTGCATCCCCAAACAAGTGTAAGCACAGCAAGTGTGAACTAGTGCATATTAAGAGCAGAACAGGCAGCTGCCTGAGCACAGAGTTCAACAGAATTTTACTTGCCTGTTGTAAAAACAGGTCACTCTTATCTTTTTGGTCACTTTATTTGCTTCTTTAATACCTCATACCATGTTGACTTGAGGTGCCTGAGAACTCTGTGAGACATGTAACCCATTTCTGTGTTTCAGCTACCTCAGCAATAGTTTTTAATGCAGAAAATGTGGCAGCCATCTAACAGGAAGACGCCAGATAAATTAAACAATCAAAAGCAAATACTCGACCCAAAGAGAAAAAACAAACAACCAAAAAAACACAACAAAGCAATGAAAGGTTTTTTTGGTTGCAAATCAAACACTGCCCAGTTGCAACTTCACAAAGTAAATCCATCAGATGACTTTTGCATCACAGATTAGTACTATCACCCCTTCCTTATTTAAAAGGAATTATAGGCTTTTTTTTTACCCCTTCCAAATATAAGACCCTTAAAGTTCTCTTCGTATCATAAATTACGCAGAAAAACCCCACAAACTTACCTCAACACATATTACAGTGCACCCTTTTTTGCCAGATCTTGAAGGCCAAACAATCCTTATGTAGCTACCATTTGGAAATTCCTCCTGAAAAGTCAGGTACCTGAGTGTCCTCTGAGGAACTGACATTTAAAATAGTATGGCAAATATAGGAAAACACAAAGCAACACAGATAAATTTAATTCAGTTACCAGAAAATGCTGAGCTGATGGAGTATATAAAAAAATATGCAGGTTGAACTTGCAGAATATGCTTCTGACTCAGGGGAAGGTTATCAGCTACTGCTCTTGCTGCCAAGACCACGTCACGTTACTGAGGGGTTTATTAAAGCACTCACCTGGCTTTGTACTGCAGATGCTGGAAGTTCTGATGGGAGATCTCAATACCAGGTAATGCCAGCTGCAAGAACTGATTGGTGGTGGGCAGACACATGCTTGAAATGCATTTTAGATTCATCAGTCTCAGAACCACTCAGTTCAATAGCCACATTCCCATTCTTTATTCGTCTAACTGGTTACTGAATGACTTTGCTTTGGGATGAGTGCATGTGGATGGCCTAAAGGACAGTAGCCTACCTACCTAGGAACTGCTGCCAGAAACAAAGTTATATTTAGGGACAGCAGGGAGCACTAATGAGCTTGAGTAGAACTTTGATATCTGGATGATTCTGTACAGAGTCAAATTGCAGAATATAATTGTCAAGGATTTTCCCTTCAGTGCTTGATAATAACAGCAGATTTAGGTCTTTCAATTCATAATAATTTAACCAAATATGTAGACATTTGATTTGGATTTGTGTGGGTTTTTCCCAAATGCTTGAAGAGTAATCAATAAATACAACTGCTATGGCTGTAAACGCTGCCTGCTGTAGGTCAGACCTTGAGTTCCAGCATGGGGAGGCCAAACACACAAATCACTGTCCCCAGAGGGGTCCTTCCCCAGGGCCCACATTTCCCCATTGACTCGGCCATGGGTCCCCCACAGGGCTCTCACAGTCATTAGCAGGCCTAGCAATTAGCCATTGCTCAGAGATCATGGTGCCGTAAGTAAAGGGTGACTTATTTGTGAAGTCTGTGACAGTTTATATTTTACTCAGTTCCCTTCTACAATAGTATTAGGAATTCCAACACTAAAATATTTCCAATGAAGACAGATGGTCAGGGCATTAGGCTTCTCCAGAACATATCCTAAAGACTGGGAGGTGAGGGTTGAGCTAGTAATTAATCAATAGTTCAGGGAGTATGTTCCTGTAGTGAGGAAAGTGTGAGTTTTGCTGTCAAAGGCACAAAAGCACACACAGTGTAATTGTAAAATATATCTAATAACTAAGCTGAAATTAGCAGTGAGGTAATTGAAGGGTTGGGCATACCAGACAGCATGCAAAATATGAAAACAAGTAAGAGATTCCACACAAAGGGGATCTCTTTTGTTTTAATCTTATATAGCCATATAAAAATATCACTTTAGATCAAAAAACAATTAAAAAAAACCCAGGGAGTTTTCATCTTGAAATAAAAGGTTTCTTACATGTAAATATTATACCAATAACTTGAAAAATGTGTATAAAATATTATTGCATGTATCTAAAAATCCCTAAAAGTATTAGAATATACATAAATTACAAAGAAAGATATATTTAAGTAGCAAAAGTGTTCACTGGCAGCAGAATTGAGTCAGAAGGTAAAACCTGAATTCACATAGGGTTTCTACTTTCTTTTGCATTACAAAATCAGTACAAAATCATCACATATTTATTGCATGAATGAGAAAGCAACAAGATACATAAAATGCTACATTATTTGACAGCAGTGTAAAACTACCCAGGATTTTCATGCTTGTACTCCAAAGGGAGCTGTCAATCCCTAAAGTCCACTAAAAAATGCAGGGCTATCAGTGATATATTTGCCCACAACTGCCCCATTGAAAAAGGCCTGGAGTGTTACTAAAATGTGCAGGGCTGTATTGCAACCTGCATGGCACTGCTGGTCCTGCCAGCCTCCACGTTCTTTGGATGCACTTGTGCAGCCCAACCATGGCTTTCAGAGGGAGAAGTGGTGACTCAGAAGTAGGTATTTTCTTCCACTGCTTAAGTTTAGCAACCTCTACAAAGATTCAGAACAAAGTACGGAAAACATTATACAGAACACATTTTCAGTAGAGAATGATGGATTGAGTTGATTTTACTGTAAAACTTCTCAGCAAATTTCCTGCAGATATCCACTGGAAGCTCAAACTCCAATCAGCATTTGTCTGAGTTGAACTGGATTGCGCAATACCACACTTGAAATTTGCTGATGGGAGCAAACTTTACATTGATTTTAATCTACATAGTGCAACTAGCAAAAAGGCAAATGTCAGCTTTTAGCCTTTGGTTTGAAGTGTACAAAGTCAGTGAGATGATTCTTGTGATTCACTGGGTTCTGGGACTTGCCAAGCTTTTCTTATCAATAGGATCAAAATGTTTCTTTGGTATAATCTTCTCTTTTCTGGGAATACATAACCAGTTATTCTAATCTAATTCTAATTCAGTGAATCTAAGATCCTTCTCTGGAAAACTAGAGCAGGCAGTGTACCCTGTTTCCCATGCTGCATCTCCAAGAAGTGCTCTGAGGACCATGTCTGTTCCCAAAAACTTCATTCACTACAGGTTCTCTCTAGCTGCTTTCACACAATCCATGCAGTACTCTTACAGGC